GCTCCCCTTGTCCTCTTAAGGTCACTCCTTGTCCTCACCGATTCTCTCCCCTTCTGCCCTCCACTGTGACCTGGCAAATGTCAGTGCATCCTCCCTTGTCCATGGCTCCGAGACATCACATGCATCAACCTCAGGCCATGGAGATATTTTTTAAGATTTGCCTTTTACTTCATATTGATTTTCTTTGTATTCCACAAGTCAGGTTGAGTGGAGAACATGAAGGATTCAAACAGTTACTGGATGTTTTGATGCAAAGTGTTTTGTTCTTGTGGGGACTGAAGCTGAAGTGTATGACAAGGAATCCCCAGCTAGCAGATGCCTCACGACCTGAGAATTAAAATGGAGGATATGGTACAGGCCAGCCCACATGCTCCTAATTATCTACCTAATACAATACAGGCATACCCACATGGAAATTGCTCTTTTTTAAGTCAAGAGAAAAGCATAGTTTGGTGAGATGGCACATGCTGGTAGGGAGGCAGGGGCAAGAGGCCTGCTGCAAGTTTGAGGCAAGCTACGGCTAAGTAAGGGGACTTTGTCTCAGAATAAACACACAACAAACAAACTCCCCATCAAACAACAACAACAAATAAGCAACGACTCTAGAACCCTCTCGATGTGTGAATTAAGGGCAAAGAACTCAAGGCAATGACACAGGAGAAGCCCAGCTTCGTTCTCCCTTGATCAGAACAAGGCAGACACAGGCAATGAGGGGGCGTCAGTGCTTTTTCACCAACCTGGCAAACCCTTCAGAGGGATCACACTTAGAACTGGTCTTGTGTTTGGGACGCACCAACACTTCACCTTGTCGGCAGGTGAGTTCATGGGACCGGGCAGGCTGCATAGTCTGTGGCGGTTCTGGTGTGCACTCACTTTGATGATGTTTCCAGTGTGCAGGAACTCTGATTTAGCCATTCCACTTGTAGAAGTTTGTGATACACACAGAAACTCTCAAAAAATTTAAGATGTAGTGTGACTACAATTTTTTTAAATTAAAAAAATTTATTATTTTTATTTTATGTGTATGCGTGTATTACCTACATGTAGGTAAGTGTACCCATGTCATGCAATGCCCTCAGAGGTCAGAAGAGGCTGTCAGATCCCCTGGGAGTTATAGACAGTTGTTAGCTGCCATGTGGGTGCTGGGATTCGAACCCGGGTCTTCTGCAAGAACAACCAGTGTTCTTAACCACTGAGCCATCTCTCCAGCCCCGTGACTCCATTTTTTAAAAAATTTATACTTCTATTTATTATTATTAGTGTGTGTCTGATGCGTGTGTGAGTACAGGGATGCATGTACAACAGCATGCATGTGTTGGGCAGAGGACAACTTTCAGGAGTAAATTGTGTTTCCCTCCATGTGTTCCAGGGATTCAGTTCAGGTCACCAACCTTGGTGGCAAGTGCTTTTATCCACTGGTCACCTTGCCAGACTTGTGAGTCCAATTTTAATACATGTAATACACACATACATAATAAACATATATATATATATTACTGGATATGGAATGAAAAACAGAAGGTTTAACAACTCATGCTTCAGAGGAATATGAATTGGATGTTTTATGCAGTGAGTCCACAGAAAACTAGTACAACTTCCAGTGGCATAAGATGAGGGTTTAATGGCAGCAGGAGGGGAGGAGACAGAAACTTTGGGCTTCATGTTCAGTCAGTTCTCTGTATAATTCCAGAAACCTTGAAAGAGCACCTTGTTTATAAGGGCTAAGACATTATCCTAAAAGTTAGGCTAGTGGTAAGGAAGCTCGTAGTCTACCTGATCTGAGCAGCGATCACCAGGGTAGTACTCATGCGCTGAGGAAATCCTGAGCCAATAAATTAGCATCATGTACCATTAGAAGCCACTGAAACCCCCAGAAACACAGACACACTCTGCAGGAACGCAGGCCTGCCTCGGGACCTATAACTGCAAACCTGCCCCAAGAAACATTGAAACATTGAAAATAGGCTCAGACAGCCCAGAATGCAAATTGTGCTTAGCATGAGGGCAGGTTCAGCCACAGAGGCAACTGACCCCAGTAAAGATGGTGAGGAACTGACTTTGAAAGAACTAAGAAAGCTTGAAATTATTAAATGAGAAAGGAAAAAATCTTAAAGGAAGAATAAATACCAGTCAGTGGGAAAAGGTGCTTCTAGTTTGGTCCCCAGGACCTGCGTAAATGTGGAAGGAAAGAACAAACTCCACAAAGTTGTCCTTTGATCTCCACATGAGTACCATGGCACATACCCCTGTCAATTAAAAAAAAAAAGGAATACTGCCCAGTGTTATACATGGTATTATATCCTATAATCCTAGCAATGGGAACCTGGAGGCAGAAGGGTCATGAGTCCAAGGCCAGCCTGGCCTACATTATGAGCTGCTGCCATAAACAAAACATAAAACAACTGTATATATTTTAAATTTCTTGTTTTTGTTTTATGTTTTATGAGTGTTTGCCTGCATGCATGTAAATTCACTCAATGTTCATGCAATGCCCACAGAAACCAGAGATAACATTGGATCCCCTGGAACTGGAGTTACAGACAGACTGCCATGTGGGTGCTGGGAATTGAACCTGGGTCCTCTGCAAGAGCAGCCAGTGCTCTTAACTGCTGAGCTATCTCCCCAGCCCCAACAATTATACACTTTTAAAGAGACATGTCTAGTGACTTTTGCCATGGGAGACATCTCCTACTGTAAGCAAGGCGAGAAATGGGGCAGGGAGATGGCTCAGCAGGTAAAGGCACTTGCCACCAGTCCTGGTGGAAGGAGGGCACCAACTCTAAAAGTTGTCCTCTGACCTCCACATGCTTGCCTTGGCATGTGCACATGTGTGAACATGCATACATACATGCGAGTAAGCAAATAAATAAATGTTTAAAATAAACCCACTTTTTTTAAAGGTGAGAAATGGATAGAAATCTAGGGAAGAATTTGTTTTCAGACACTGGACCCAGGTCTGGTGAGATGGGGAGGAAATGGCAGAGCTCAGTGGCCGAGTTCACCTCTACTGAGACCCTTTCTGATACCCCCTGGACAGGGAATATCAACAGAGCACAGAATCCTCATTAGGATAATGGAGATGGGGAGCCAGGCCCAGAGGAGGTAAGGCAGCCAGAGTCAGTAGCACAGAGTTTAGGAGACAAAGCTACATGGAGTAAACCTATGCCTGCACAAGACCAGGACAGTGCAGGACAGTATACTGAAGACCTCTGAGGGTGGGAGGGCCTGGGCTTTGGGATGAGGGATCCAGTAGGTTTGGTGGGTCTAATTGCAGAGGGTACTTGGCCCCTTCCCTTGATAACACCCAGGGAGGCAGAAAAATTCAAGTAAAGACTGTGTGTCTTGGTTGATGGTATGGGGCCAGCATCACAGAGTCTCAACATCCCAAAACAACATGGAGCAACAGCATGAGCCAGAGGGCTCAAAAAGGCAGGAGCCCCAGCTGACGGAGGTGCACATGACGCACAGTGACCCAGCTGATGGAGGTGCATGTGACACAGTGACTGCTACTTGCCTCACCCTAGGCCCAGCCTTGCCTGGAGAGGCCCTGGAAGAGGCCATCTCCTGTGAACAGAGAGGCCATGGAGAGGGGAATTGAGACACCCCTCCTCTGTTTGCAGCTAAGTAAAATGATGTAAGCACCCCTAGCTGCCATCATGTGGAGTAGGAGCTCCCAGTGAGTCATAGAATTTCCCAAAAGACCAACTGCTGTGCTTGAAGCCACTGAGTCGGATGGCTTGTAACACAGCCATAAATAACCCGGTCAGTTTCAATCACAGGTGTGACATAAAGAAATAGGAGACAAGACCTGCATGGAGCATGCATCTGCCTTTTGGTAGAAACTTTGTACTAATGAAATGCCACTGAATGTACCACTGAATGCCAGTTATAGAAAAAGAATTACTGTTCCTTTTCTCCCCTGCCTGAGTGTCTCTGGGGTGTTATCAGCCCTATGCACTACAGGAATGAGAAAACGAAGGGCAGACAGCTTTTCACTTACTCTAAGCTGGATACCCCAGCTCCTTTTCCAGTAGCAATACCTCATTTCTCCCTTTGGCAAACCATGCCCCCTCCCCAATTCTGTGAACACATGAAGGTACTCCCAGTCAGGGTACCCACCAGGGTGTACACCGAGGCTAGATCTCCCATAAATCATGGGCACAAGAACAAATGCCCTTGGGTCTGAGTCTTGCCTGTGGCCCAGGAGAGACTGATCATGGGCTCTTGCCACTGACATCCCTGTACCTTCTTGGGGCTCTTCTCATGCTCTGCCCCTTCCCTTGGTATTTTCCAATACTTTCTAGAGAGTTCCCTTTCACTAAATGTAGGCAGAACTGGTTTCTATTATCTGTTATCGAAGAGCCCTGACTGACACAGGGGATACCATGTGACAGGCGTTTGGAGGCATCCTTTGTATTTTTTAGGGAGAAAGTCATGTGGCCAGCCCACGTGCTGTCCTGTACACCTGAAGTTCTTACCAGTCAGGTCACTTAAGTAGAAGCACTGATTTATTTGAGTAGAGTCTGTCAACAAAGCTTGGAGGCAGCCGAACCTCCTGGGGGCCTTGGGCCCACATACCCTCCCTGCCTCCCAGAACCCTTGGCTCCTCATCTCAGCAATGTCCTTCATCAGTCTAGCTTGTGTTTTCTTCCCATCAGACCTTCTGGCAGCTCTGTGAGGTGGACCAAGTGCCACAGAGCTTAATTACTGCTGGAATTGTTCTGACTGAGTTCACTGCACAACTTGTCCCTGAAGGTCCCCACCACCAGTCCACATACCTGACAGGACTCTGGGATGCATAAAGACAGAGCTGGGGCCAATTCCCACCATGATGACAGGGACCCTGGGTCATAGACCTTTGGGTCGGCACATGAGTTGTGGATGGGAGCATTCTGGACTCATACTGGGGTTAAACTCTCAGGTGAGGGAGTCCCAGTCCTCACCCCATATAGCCCCACCCCACACAGGCTCGCGAGAGTTTGCTGGGTGCCACGTGTTACCGCTTCTGCAGGACACTGACGAACTCGTTGAGCCGGTCACGCTCCACCTCGGCGGCCTGCCAAAGGGCCTTCATTTCTGCCACTTGTGTCTGCCAGCCCTTTTGTTCTGGGGAGTCTAAGAACCTGGGGCCAGGGTGAAGGGCAAGGAACAGTGGTCACCTGAGGTTTAGAGATATATATGTCCTTCTGAAATGTTGGGCAGGACTGACTGGGGCATTTAGAGGTTCTGAGATGGGCAGAGGCGAGGCTCTAGCCCTCCTGGTCCAGCATCCTTGGCCCTGCTGGATCCCCAGGCCCACTCAGCTGCTAGTGATATTGATGCCTCTGTCCAGCCATCCCTCTGAGGGCCCAGGGTGTCCAGAATGTGGCTTCTGGGGCCTGATTCTCTGTCCAGTGTCAAGTGGCTGGCTGTGGCCCATGGTCCTTGTACTAGTCAACATCTGCCCCGGTGTGCCTCAGGTACTTCTTGGGAGACAGACGCCCAGTGAGAAGACCAACTTGCCTAGAGCCACACAGTGAGTCTTAAGTGAGACTGGGCCCACCGCCTGGATCCTGAGCTGACCTGAATGAGGGGTTGGGGGGTGGTGCTGACAGCAGGAATATGACTCCAGTGGACAGTGGGTAGGGTTCACTGGCAGGACAAGCCATCCTTTGTCTATGAGCCCACAGGAAGAACAAAGGGCGCATTTAAGCCCTGAGGCTGATTTTATCAACAAAGAGGGGGCTGGAGAGCCAAGGGGATATCAGTGACATATCGTGGGAATCCACATGATATGAAATGTTCCCCTAGAGATAGATTCTCAGTGGGTAAGAGAAGGCTGTGGAAGGGGCTGGGAGCCAGACCTAGAAGGTTCCTTGTGCTAACTCTCTGGTAGAAAGAAACAGACCCAGCTGCTTACTCAATAAGCTGGCCCTGACACTGGCCTCCTTGACCCTCCAGGTTCTTATGTAACCTTGGAAGACTCTTTGGACTTTGTGTGGTCTCAATCCTCCGGCCTTTCAATGGGCTGAGGAGGCTGGTTAACAATGCAAGGGTGAAGGCTGAGAGCACTCAGGGACCCGGACTCCTACCTGGGTGAGGTCCCATGGGGACTGGGCAGAGAAGGCCTTGTGAGAGAGGATTCCACAAGTGTGTGGCCCAGGCTTGTCACAGAGCTGTGAAGGCAAAAGGGAACATCTATAGGGAAGACTATGAAGGTACTGTTGGGCCTCACCCTGGCCTGTGAGGTATAGTAAGGTGGGCAGGGATCCAGGGAACCTATAGAGAAGGTCGTGTGGGTCCCACAGCTGCCCCATGGGTTGAATACCATTCCTTTCAGAGTTCTTGCTTGCTCTAGATCAAACAGAGCCCTAGGCAATTCAAAAGCAGAGTATCCAAGAGACTTTGGAGCAGGCATACTCTGGGCTGGCCCAGAGAGGCTGCCCAGCGAGACTGCCACAGGCGCAAGATCTTGAAGGAATAAAACCCAGGCCTAATAGCTCCTTCCTGCAAATGCAGAGCCAACAGAATAGGAGAGGTCCTCAGTTTGTAAGAACGGGACAGGTATCTTAAAATTGTACATTGCACTGGTGTGTGTGTGTGTGTGTGTGGTAGGGATATGTGGCTCTGTTGGTAGGGTGCATGCCTAACATGCACAAGCCCTAGGTTTGATCCCCAGCACTGCATAAACTGGGGTGGTGGCACATGTCTGTAATCACAACACTAGGGAGATGGAGGCAGGAGGATCAGGAGCTCAAGTTCAGTCTTGGCTACATATTAAGTTCAAGGCCAGCCTGAGATACATAAGACTCTGTCTCAAAAACAAACAATAACAACAACGACCCCCCCCCCCAAAAACCATAAAATTGCACCCAGGGGCCTTTCCATATGAGGCAGTAGGAAGTCACTTTTCCTTTGAATAGTTCCTAGGCCCCTCATAATTCCTCCACCCCGTGTTTTCCTTACCGAGAAGATCCCAGCTGGCCAACGTGATCACCCGCTGAGGCTGGAGACTTGGTCATCTGGGCCAGGTCCTCAGGGATCCTGGAATGGGTGGGACTGGCCCCCTCACCTGCTCCTTTACTGTGAAGATACTGTAGGGAACAGATATATGTCATGCAGGAGGGAGCCTTGGCTGGTTTCCCAGCTTTGGGGGGTATGAAAGAGGCTTCTTTTCCTGGTGAAAGCTGGCCTGGGTGGTGAAGGCAGCACTTGCATGACAATGACATCTCACAATGGCTCTGTTCAAAAGGAAGCTTCAGATTGAGGCCAGTGCAGGCCAAGGAGGTGTGAGGCCAGCACAGGCCAGGGCCCTGGGGAGGTATAAGAACAGCATAGGCCAGGGGCACTGGAAAGTCAGAGACTGACTCTTGAGAGCCCACTTCCCCAGGTGTCTCTACTCACAGGGGAACAAATGTCAGATGTGACTGAGGCTAGTGCCATCATCAACTGTAATACCTGGACTTTCAGATGCCTAGTGCCTGAGAGGCTGGCAGAGCCTTAGGAAAAGTTAGGCTGGTAGAGCCCTAGGAAAGGTTGGTTACTAGGTGGAGGTGGGGCTTCTCAGGGTCCTCCCACACTCCTCTCCAGGCTACCAGAAGATCCTTAGCAGGAGGTCAGGCCATCACCAAAGGGTGACAGTAGGAGTGGCGTCTAACAGCATGGCATGACATATCCTCAAGCCGCTCTGAGAAAACTTATGAGCCATTGTGTGTAGTCGGTGGTGTTTGATTCCCAGCTGATTGGTGACCTCTGAAGTAGAATCTGTCCTCTCTTGGGTACCCAGAGCAAGGACAGAAGTGAGGTGAAGATGCTAGACTATTCCATGATGTCCTTCCCCAGAAGGCCAGGAATGGACGTTGATCAAGGACTACAAGGCAGTGTCCCATCTATGCCACAGACTGTCCCCAGGCCTGCAGAATGCTGGGGCTCTCCCTCAGCCAGTCCTGCAGCCTCAGGCTACCCTGGCTCTGAGAATGGATGGCTGCTTGATATAGCAGACCAGCCAGTCAGTGCCAGCCTGAATGGGAAGGGGCCTGTAGCTATTGTACCTCTGACTAGACCGGGGGCTTCAGAAACACAGGGCAGGGCTTCAACACACTTTACCCAGTTACAATGGATCTATAGCTATGAGGCTCTGCTGTCACCAGGAGACCTATGAGCTTGACCCAGAATCCTTCTCCCAGGGGCCACCAACTCCCTCCCTCCAGCAGCAGCTCAGGGAGTACTCCAAGAGTTGAAGCAGCTGACTACAAGCACCCCAGGCTGGCTCCAGGTTCCTGCCTAGACATGTCATCTGCCAGAGCTTCCCAAGACAGCATGCAGGGGGAATTTACATGGGCCAGGCCCCACAGCAGGCACCAAGGCCCTGTGGCCTACACATTTTGAGGGAAATTCAAGGGAGAAGAGTAACATAAGTACATGATGCTAGGAGAGGCCATCTTGAGGGGATCTGGGGAGTTAGGAAAGACACACAACTCAGCAGTGAGCCAGGGGATCCCTGGTGGAGCTCATGTCTAGGAGGTCCTAAGGGGCAGAATGAATGATGGGAGACAAAAGGAGGAGAAAGTATGTGTTTCGGGCATGGCTCAGCCCTGGAGTGGAGAAAGGGGAGTGCCATCTGAATAGCTAAAAGAGAGTTTAGACAGGTAAGGGGTGATGAGAAGATGTGGGAGGGTGGCAGCAAGTGCTGGTATACATGCCCTGGAATCTGCATGAAATGTGGTCAGTGGGAACACTCAGGGTGGAAAGGCTTAAGCAGGGATTAGGGGAAGGAAGGGAAGAGGAGGAGAGTTAGCGGAAATGAAGGATGAATGAAAAAGCCATATGAAAGCCTACTATGTTGTAAGCCAATTAAAAAATACAGCAAGAGTGTTTGAACAGAGGTACCCTGCATGGGTGGAAAATGCTGCTCTCAGAAGCCATAACAGTAAATGAAAATCTCAGTGCCAGGTGTAGGATATTTCCCCCTGAGTTGTTGGTCAGGGAGGCCCCAGAGGACTTCAAAACAACACAAGCTATTGTTGTTGCTTTTAGTTGCCTGCTAGAACTAGATGGTAAGACTCTATTGATGAAGATACCACACACTGGTTGTAGGAGATAGAGAAATCAATCCAGAAATAAGCTAGAAGTTTCCACTCTGCTGACTAGCTTCCATAGTGCCAGAAGGTGCTATGCAGGCTGCTGGGGGAGAAAAGCCATCAATGGCCATACTTAACTGTGAACCCTACAAGCTACAACATTAGCCTGCCAGGAAGATGCATCTGCTGGTGCAACAGTGGCACAACAATTAAGGGGGTAACCAACTACTTTAAGCTTGGATTCGAGATCTGCTCTACATGATGGAATTCATACTTGGTACTGTAAACATGGTTCAAAGTCCATGGCTAGGGAGGTCTTAGGCCCTGGGAGCAGGGGGACCTACTGTGCTAAAAAGACATGGTGTCAAACTGCCTTCTAAAGATGTATGCTTATAGGACAGCTATTTCAAACTTCTGCCTCCCAAGGCTCAGAGCATGCTTGATCACTTATTCTCAGCAAGGCTCAGTGATCATTGCAGAAGAGGAGGCAGAAATATTCTAAGGGCCAGAGAGAGTAGATGACTATAAGAAAACAGCTTTCTAGACAGCTTGTCAGTTACTCATATGAGCTCACAGCAATGGTGACAGTATGAACAAGTCCTGTGCAAGCTCAAATCAGACAAAACCCCAACATAGAAATCTCAACTCAACCTAAGGAACTTTTGGCAATTGATGGGTACCAGAAGGGGGAAAGTCAGTGTCTTACAGGGTTAGGACTCTTAGTGGACACAGTGAATCCACACTGAAGGCCACTGAGGGACACAAATCCAACTCTATAGGCAAATAAAAATAAATAAATATATGAGAGAGTTCATTAAGTTGTGGGGGGCAGTGGGGGAGGTGCAGAGAGGGGAGTAGATCTAAATACCATCAAACTATATTGTATAAAAATTGGAAAAATTCAATAAAAATGCAGAAAAAGATTTATGCTTATACCCATTAGTTTAGTACTGCTCTCAGCCTTGGTGAGGAAGATTCTGCTTGCAGTGAGCAGTGTTAATGCAGAGATTCATAACTGGTCAAAGTGCTGAGAATAAGTGATCATGGGTGCTCATCCCTAAGCAGGACTTGGATCAGCCCCTCCAAGGCTCAGAAAACATTGTGGAACAAGGGGTGGAAGGATTGAGGGGAAGGTGGGGAGGAGTGCTGTGATATACACTGTCTTCTAGATATGATATGGTCATTGCACTCAGGAACTCACAGCCACTGGTTTCCTGACTTGTATGCCGCAGGACTTGTGCAAAATAGAGCCTATCAACATTCCATCAAGGATGAGGGAGGGCCTCAAGAGATGCCACCCTCCAAGGAACTGCTGACAGCTACTGGCTGCTGGGGGAGAGGGAATCATTTTCTTCAGTGGTATAGCCAGTGGTAAGTTGTCCGTGTTCCAGTAAATAACCCCCACCCATGTTAACACAGACAACCTGAGTTGAACCCAGTGGGTCACAAAAAGCCCAAACAACAGAAAGACACAAAGCAGAAGGTTTGTCAGGAAAAAAGGGTTTCAATGGGAGTGGGTGGGGATGAGAGAAGGAGTGGAAGGTGAAAGGACCAAAATATATTATATACACGTATGAAATTCAAAGAATTTTTAAGTTTTTTAATTAAAAAAAAAAAGATGTGTGGCCACCATACTGACTGGAATGTGAACATACAGTCAGAGTGACAGCTACCGTATTAAAGACGAGTGTCACAGCTGCCAATAGGAAGGGGTGAGTGGATAGCAGTCTGGATGCTTGTGGTCTTGGTAGGGTTCTGAACTAAGCAAGACACACTGGGTTTGTGTCTTAGAAAAGTCTGTGCCGAATTAGACAGAAGCCTGCTGATAGGAGGCGGCCAATGTGGAACCAGGAATGAGGTAGCACAGCTGGAGCTGAGTGTAAAGAAGAGAAAGGAGTGGACCGTGGATGCTGACAGACTGGCTGCTAGGAAACAGGGGCTGGAGGGGGTGGTACCCTGCTCACCTGCACACTGAGCTGCCCGATCTCTACCTCCAGCTGCCGCACCTTGGCCTCTCTCTCAGCCACCATGGCCCGCAGCTGGGCCACAAGGCTGGTGCTCCGCTGGGCCTCGTTATTGACCTTCTGGTCCCTGTGATGCTGGGATGTGCGCCTTGATTCCTCCTGCACACTCAGACCTCCCAGGATCTCCTGCAGCTGCTTTAGCTGATCCTGGAGGAAGAGCCACATGGCAGGTGGGGGTGAACCATGGCTACTTGGGGGACAAAAGCCAATGACTCTTCTCCCCAGAGCCACCCAACTTTCCCCAGCCCAAGAGGAAACTAACTCTAACTAAGCAGGGGACACTAACTGCCCACCCAGAGGAAGTAGCATCACCCCCCTTGCCACCCTTAAGGCTCAATCTTTCTCTTGGTGTCAGATTGCCTCCTTGGGACAAGAAGGACATCATGGGGGAAGTGGCTTTTGGGGTACCAGAAGGCAGCTCACGGGTGGCTCCCCAGATGGTGGGCAGACATGTGAATACACATAAAGTTTGCTTCATTGCTTGGACCACCCCTCCAATGAGGTCCCATCAGCACCTAACTTGAGGTCCTGTCCCCTGACATGTCTCCAAGGAGACTCTAGGGACAGAGGTGTCCTGCCTCGGGACCAACAGGAAGAACAATGACTTAGAACAGGAGGAGGCTGCTGTCCTCACCTCAGAGTGAGGAAAATGGGACCCTGCATGCCCTAGGCACTGAACTGTCAGTGAGGGACCCACAGAGGCAGGCCTATGCTGCAACCTGTTATTCCCCAGAGGTGGGTTCACCCTATCTCTTCCCTTCTCCTTTGGGGTCCCTAGGCCCAGGAGTGTGTGCTGAGCACCACTGACTTCATAACCATCTCCCTCAGGCAGTCTCTAAGCCGCTCCAGTCAGGGGTAAGGCTTTGGTACAGGAAACACATCTGGGGGCTTGGCCCCCACAGCCTGGTGGCTGGCACGTGTGGGCTGGTGGCTGGCCGTACCACGAGGGTGTCAATCAGCTCATCATCGTGCCTGCCTTTCTCCACCAGAGTCATCATCTGGCTCCTGAGGGTCTTTGCCTCACTGGACAGCACCTTGTTACGAGACCGCATGCCCTCGAACTTCTTCTTTAGCGCTTCAAGCTCTGTCTGGAGGGTGTCCCTCTCACTGGCCAGTTTCTATAATTAGAGAATGAGATCTGAGACAAGCCTAAGCCAAGAGCTTAGGGGGTGCCTCAACCACAGCTCACTGGGGACACTCAGAGCAGGGCGGGGGCAGTTTTTGAAGGCCACAGTACAAGTCATGGAGCCAGGGCCCTAACATAGGCCAGGCCTCCCTGCAACCTCAGCAGGCACAGCACCCCTTTCACTGATAGGCACATGACAGACAGTGCTAATGGATGACAGCACACCACTTCTCCTGTTTTATAAAATGAACATCAGGGCCAGTGAGATGGCTCAGCTGATAAAGATATTTGCCTCAAATTCCTGAGTTTAATCTCTGGGACCCACATGGTACAAGAGAACTGACTCCTACAAATTGTCCTCTGACCTACACGCACACACACACACACACACACACACACACACAGAGAGAGAGAGAGAGAGAGAGAGAGAGAGACTCACAAAATAAATGCAAATAAATAAAATGAACACTAGAATTGACTGTACTGTCTGCCACAGCAATTTATAAACCAAAATGGTTTTCACCATTTTAAGTGTGTCTTGTTTATTGTTTCTTATATAAATACAGTGGTATTGGGGACGACTGATGACCCCTTCCTATTTAAACCTGTTGGGGAAGAGACCCAGTTGTCAGTGAGGCTTCAGTGACATTTCTACGGTGTGAGGCTGAGTCCTCTCTACTTGGCACTAACTCTGTCCCATATAAACTGGAAGTTCTCATGCTGCACATATCTTTGGAGGCTCATTCCTTCATTCTCGTTTCCTGAGAGCTTACTGTGTGCCTGACATTGTGACAGGCGCTAGAGTACAGCAGGGACAAAGCAGAGCCCTTGTTCCCAGGAGTATCATCCCAAGGGAGACATCTGCAGGGGAGACAGACATGACGGTGTGGGGCAGAATGTAGTCAGGGAGGACTCCCTAAAAAAGTGATGGCTGAGCAGAGCTGGGAGCTAAGAAGAGCACAGGTCCCAAGTGGGACATGTGTGGCTGGAGCCCACAGCAGGGCAGGGCAGGGCAGGCCAAGGGCAGAGAGGCAGAGGCCAGGTGAAATAAATCCTTCAAGCAGAGACTGTGTCACACGGATGGGTCGAGCAGTGACTGGCATCCTCTGACTTGATGCTGAAGCCCTGTTATAGTGGCAAAGGTATTTTCATAGTCTCAGTGAGAATCACAGACATGTAAGATGACAGGATATGATGAACCTACTGAGCCTTCAGCAGGGAGGGGTTGATGTTCGCCTGATGCTCCTTAGCTTCTTGTGGGCACCTGGACAGAGGAGGACACACAGCGAGGCACTGTCTCCTCCCATGTCCTTGTGGCTCAGGCGGTTGTTGCAGCACATCTTCCCAGTGAGAATACACACTCACACTCACACCCAGCTTTCCTAATCTCAACTTTTCCCTTGATGCATGCTGCAAGTCCTTTATCATTCTTCCTACACTCCCTTCCTGTCCAGTTGTCACAGGGCCCCATAGAGTCACCCTTAATATCCCATGTGTCTAACCTGTCATGGCACTCCTTACACCTTGGTATAAGTCCATGGTCATCCTCAGGAGGATTATCAGTCTGCCTCCTGAACCTGCTCCTCTAGTGCTCCTCCCCAACCACATGACCATAGGGACTATGTCTCTTCATAAGTTAAAGCCCTTTGGTGATTCTGTTGGTACACACGGTCCAGCAGGATATGGCTGTGCCCACCCCTCTAATCTCCCATTCCTCTCCTAATGCCTGATGGTACAGAAGGCTGGGAGGTAGCTATGGTGGTGCTCTCAACATCCCTGGCACAGCCTGATATAGGCACTCATAGAGGGAGTCTCCCAATGAGGAGGTCCAAGCTGGAGGGCCTCAATGTCAGGAAACCACTGTCAGAACCACTAAGGGGGGCCTGATGTCCAGCCTGACACAACAGCTTCTCCCACTTCTTCCTCTGAGGTAGTCCCCAACTTTCCACTCTTGGCTCAAGTTTGGGGAGGCTGACTCACTGCCCAGACCTGGGGGCAGGGAGATGAAACGCAATAAGGCACCTTGTGTCTTTGATCACAGGGACTGACTCAGGGGTTGAGACATGGCCCAAGCTAAGTTGAAGACCCTCAGTTCTGGAGCTCAGTTGGAACCACTGGGAAAGAGAACCCTTGGTAGACTGGAGAACAGAAGTGAGGCAGCCTGGGATTGCCATGGGAGAAAGGGCAGAGGCTGAGAGCTAGAGTTCCAGAGTGCCCAGTCCAGAGGGAGGTGCAGCCTGTTTACCCAGTTCAGTGCCTGGAGTGGCTTCCTTCAGGCCCCATGCACCCTATCCCACGTTTGGAGGTGTGACCCTGTGTGAGGGTTAGTCTTCACAGTCAATTTAACTGGATATGGAATCACCTAGGAGCCACACCTCTGGTCATGTCTGTGAGAACCTTATCAGAGGAGGGAAGACCCACCCTGAATATGGGTGGCACCATCCCTAGGTTGGGGGCCCAGATTGAATAAAACAGGGGAAAGGAGGAAGCAAACTGAGCTCCAGCATTCATCTCTGGTTCCTGACAGAGGATGCAATGTGAGCAGCCACTCCTGCCGCCATGCCTTCTCTGCCCCATGGGACTGTATCCCCTCAGTGAACTGAAATAAACCCTTCCTTCCTTAAGTTGCTTTTGTTGGTTATTTTATCACAGCAGTGAGAAAGTAACTAATACACTCTGCATCCCTCTAGACATTTTTTTAGAATAAGTTTTATGTATTCCTCTGCCCCAAAGTGAGGACAGGACCATCTAGAGTTCATTGAATGGCCCCAGAGTGAGCCCTCAGCCAGGCAGCTCAAGCTGGTCAACAGGATGTGAGGACTAGTCACAGAGCTGCCCTAAAGCCCCAGTGTCTATGGTAAGGAGATCGAAGGACCTGGCAGGTGTGGCAGATCTCCCTGTGTGCCCACCAGACCCCTACTGGGCCACCTTACCTCCCAGCTTTCCTGCTTGTCCCTCTCCAGACTTCGGATCCTCAGCAGGTTTTTCTCCTGTGCCGACAGCTTCCTTGGGTCTGAGTTGGCCAGCCGCTCATCGCAGGCCAGGCCCACAGACTTGCTCTGACGCTGTCCCAGCTGCTTCTCCAGCTCTCGAACCTGAGGGCGGTAAAGCTGGCTGTCCCACTACGAGTCTTCAGCCCTGTCACATGGGTGCCATGCTAGACTGAAGACTGAGCCACCCTTCCATGGCATGGCATAGGATGGGGCCTGGGTAGGAAGGTCTTGGGCAAAATGAGAAGATGTCAAAGTGGTTTAACCTAGAAAAGAGACACTTCTGAGTCAATGAGAAAAATCTTGTCACTAAAGGGCTGTTAGAGGCCAAGAAGCACATGTCATATGTTGTCCCAGGAAGCTGAGACAATGTGCAGCAGGCTTCAGCCCAGGAAGAACTCTCCAGTAGACAGACTGAAGCCTGAGTGGACCCCCAGGAGGTGGCTGGTCACCAGCAGGGCTGGAAGCAGAGGGAATGGCTCAGAGCAGTACTGGCTGTGTGCTGTACATGATGAAACTTCTCCGAATCTCAGTCCCCTCGTCTGCAAAATGGGCCTTCCTGGAGGCACCTTCTGCATAGTGTTGTGATGAGGATGCAATACCCCAGCCCTGCGTGAGCCCAAGGCTCCCTCAAGGTTCCTCCTGGAATGACAAGTCATGGGGTCCATTCCAGACCAAAAATCAGAGTTCCAGAGGAAGGAAGGACCTGGGAAGCCATATTTTAAGAAAAGTCATGAATGAATCTTTTTTTTAAAGCAAATATTCATTTTTTTATTTATTATAAATATTAACTCATAGTAATTGTACAAAATAGTGGGTTTCTCTGTGATATTTCCTTGCATTCACATATCATGTTTTAATCATATCCACCCCTCCCCTCTCCTGTCCCTGGCCTCAGTCTTCTTCCCTTAATTGTCCTCCTCCTCCTCCTCCTCCTCCTCCTCCTCCTCCTCCTATTCTATATAATTAAAAAAACATGCAGTATTTATCTTTCTGAGTCTGGCTTATTTCCCTTAAGATGATTTCCAGTTCCAACCATTTTCCTGCAAATGACATAGTTCCATTTTTATTTACCACTAGAACTTGGTTGTGTATACATGCCACCTGTTCTGTAGCCCTTTGCCTGTGACAGGTGTCAAGGCTGGCTCTGCCGTACTGCGGCTGCAGTGAACATGGATGTACAGGTGTCTCTGTGCTGTGCTGACTCTGATTCCCGAGAACACTCAGCAATGGGGTAGCTGGGTCACATGGTGGTTCTACTTGTAGTTTTCTGAGGTACCTCCACACTGATTTCCATAGTGACTGTACCAGTTTACATTCCCACCAGCAGCGTGTAAAGGCTCCTCTTTCCCCTCATCCTTACCAGTGTTTGTTGTTTTCTTCATGACAGCCATTCTGACTGGAGAGAGATAGAATCTTAATATAGTTATGATTTTGTATCTCCTTGAGAGATTAAGATGTTGAACATTTAAAATACATATTTATTGGGGCTGGGGAGATGGTTCAGCGGAAACAATACTTGCTGAGCAAACCTCCAGCACCCACATAAAAAGCAGGTCAGCCATGTGGTCTGCTTATAATCCCAGCACTTGGAAGGTAGAGACAGAGGATCCCTGGCTAGCTAAACTAGCTGAGTCCTTGAGTTCCAAGTTCAGTGAGAGACCCTGTTTCAGTAAAGTGGAGGAAGGCATCTGACGTCAACTCTGGCCTCCATACACATATATACACACATGCATAAATATCACACACATACATGCAAATATATGCATTTATTAGCCATTTTTATTTCTTCAGAAGTTTATGTGTAAATCATTTTCCATTTCTTAAATTGAATTACTTGAGGGCTGGAGAGATGACTCAGCAGTTAAGAGCACTGCTTGCTCTTCCAGAGGACCCCAGTTTGTTTCCCACATGGGGGCGCTGTACAACCTTCTGTCTAACTCCAATTCTAGGGGATCTGATGTCCTCTTCTGGCCTTTGAGGCCTGTCTTAGTTTGTTTCTCCATTGCTGTGACAAAATGCTCTTACCAATACCAACTTGGGGAGGAAAGGGTTTATTTTATCTTATATCTCCTGGGTCACAGTTCATCAGGGAGCCCAAGGTAGGAACTCAGGGCAGGAACCTGGAGGCAGGAGCTGGAGCACAGGCCATGGAGGAACACTGCTTACTGGCTTGCTCCCCTGGCCCCTCAGTGGGCTGGGCCCTCCTACATCACTCATCATGAAGATGCCCCATGGACATGGCCACAGGCCAGTCCAATAGAGGAAATTCCCCAATTGAAGCTCCCTCAGCCCAGGTGTGTCAAGTTGACACTAAAGCTATCGAGCACACAGTCATTGTATGCAAGTAGTGCACTTATATCCATGCAGGCAAAACACTCATATACAAAAATAATAAAATTGAATTGCTTCCTCTTTTGTTAAGATTTTTGGGTTCTTTATATATTCTGGATATTAATCTTCTGTCATATGAATGACTGACAAAGATTTTCCCCCATTTTGTACGTTTCCTCTTCACTCTGTTAACTGTTTCCTTTGCTGAGCAGAAGCTTTTTAGTCTGAAGTGATTGTTTATCCATTCTTACTTCTATGTCCGTGACTACCGGAGTCCTATTTAGAAAGTCCTTTCTGCCTCTGCCTTTACCTGGAATAGTTTGCCTTTGTTTTACCCAAAAAGTTTTGGGGTTTTAGGCCTTACACTTTGATGCATTTTGGGTTGAGTCTTGTACAGGGTGAGAGGTAGGGGTCTTGTTTAAATCTTCTACAAGTAGACATCCAGTTTTCCCAGCACCACGTTAGAGGCTGTCTTTTCTCCACTATATGTTCTTCATACCACTGTAAAAATCAGATGGCTAACTGAATATGGTGGTGCAATCCTGTAATCTGAACACACAGGAGGCCAAGGCAGGAGGATCATGAGTTTGAGGCCACCTGTGAATACACAATGAGATCCTGCCTAAAAACAAAACAACAAAAGAATGAGACAGCTGTAGATGTATATATTAGTTAATTCTTGGTCTTCTGTTCCATTGATTAGCATGTCTGTTTTTATGCCCATGCCATGCTGGTTTTGTTACTATGGCTCTGGAATGTATTTTGAATTCAAGCATTGTTCTTTCTGCTTAGGGCTATTCTGTGTGTTTCAGGATTTTTTTTTTCTAGAACTGTTAATGATATCATTGATATTTTGAAGGGAAGTTCATTGACTCTTGAGTTGACTGTACTGAATGCTTGTAGCATGGCCTTTTGGATAGCGTGGTCACTACAGTGATCTTTAAGGATTAGTCAACTTTGAAAACTCCCAGATGATCCATGTGGAACCATCAATACACCTGGTACCCCTCTCTCCCCTCCACCCCACTGCTCTCAGCAAGTAGGTAGATGTCGTCCCAGAGAATGCCTTTACCACACTGGAGTTTAAGTAGATAACTCTCAGGGCCCTGTCTTCCACCAATACAAGTCAATCTTGGAACAAAACTGGCTGTCTAGAGCCAGGAGAAAATGTGCCCTATGACAGAGGCACAGGACACAAATCAGTGTGTCCTTGTGGCATCACGTGGTAATTCAACTGAGGTGTCTTAAATAATTCAGCACAGAACTTAATGACAGTAACAGCAAATTCACTGAGTGCTTCTTATAGCCAGGTGCTTTATTAGTGTTATCTCCACTCTATAGGTGAGGAGACTCAGGCAGAGATGATGGCATCTGTTCAAGGCCACAGAGCCAGAAGGGCAGTGACAGGCCAGACTCAAACTCAGGTATTTTGGACCCCAAGGCCACACATTGATCATCAGTTAAGTTTTGGAGGAGTTTTTTTCCCTTCATGCTGACTTCAAGGATCTCATAGAAGAGACCCTCAGAAAAAAAGCCACACAGGAACCATGGACTTGCTGCCTGAGAGTGCAGGCAGCATGCTTGAGGAATTATGGGAACTACACATCTTCCATGAGCTTCTCAGTCTGAAGGCAAAACCAGCTAATCTCCGCCCAATGTTGTCTCCAAGCTGGCACTGTACTGAGCACCCTTCATACTCTGGTGTAGTCGTTGCTGCCAAGAGCCCCCTCAGGGGTTAGAAACTGTTGTACCCCATTCTGTCTATTTGGAAACTGAGGCACAGAGAGTTAGTCATTTGCATACTGACCCACAGCTGGTAAGGAGGGCACCAGGGTTTGAACTCAAACAGGGCAGCTCTGGAGCCTCTGCTCTTAACCTCTCTTTGTGTGTGCCAAAATATTTAGAAAACAAAGAGGGAGACCAGGCTGTTTTACTACATAACGAAAACTTTCAAAAGACACAAGCATCTGGATGGAACTGGAAAAAGTCAACAATTGCAACAGTCATGCAAACATACTTGGGAAGACGCCTGCAGAAAAGGAAATCAAACTCAAGGCTCTGGGGCTGGTTAAGCGCCAGGGCCAGGCATGTGGAAAGCGTTATGTAAGTGTGTGTTCATTTAGTAACAAATGAAAATCAGGCTGGCGCAGAGAATATAAACCAACTGCCCTGCAAGGATACACTGTGGGACAACAGGCCTTGGGGGGCTCTGGTGCTTCAGGCTCTAATGAGGGTCAGGGCGGATCTCTCTAGGACACTTTGAGCCTTTTGCATAGGACCAGAAGTCTGGTGACTCACCTTGCTCTGCAAAACCAGAATTTGTTGAGCCCTTCCCCTCCAGGTCCCTGGTGAGGACAGGAGCTGCTGGATGTTCACATCTTCCCCAACCTCATTGGCCAGAACCTGAAATGAAACAAGACATTCAGTGTGGCCAGGAGGGTGGCTTCCCAGGCCCCGCCTGTCACTGCATGGGGCTCTGAGGCAGAGCTATGTAGAGGTGGGGCTTCCGAGGGCCTAACTTCATCTGCACAGCCTTCCCTTCATCTCAGAGTACACTTGTCAAAAACCAGGTCAGCTCTGCCTGGGGTCTGGGTGGGGCAGTAAGCCCATCACCCCAGCTCTTCTCAGGGATTCGCAGGTCAACCAGGTGCAGTCCCAAAGAAGGCCTCTTGCTTCAGACACATTCTACCACAATGCACCCAGAGCTGACCAATGCCTGCTTCCTTACGTCATTCACATGTCACCTCATCTCATCACAGAATTGTGGGTGGCTTCAGGTAGCACACTGCCACAGGGCTTGTCCTCTGATAGCCACTGCCAAGTGGCCCTCTCTTGGCAGCATGGAGGCATCACTTCAAGCTGCTGTACTTCGAGAAGAGTCCAGCACTGTGGCCACTGAAGCGTGGTATGGTACTCAGGCCCTACCTCCAGGCTTTGATGGAGATAGAAGCAGTATACTCGGCATGTCACCAAGCTGGATCCCCATCCAGCAAGCCAAGTCTCTCTGACCCTGGTTTCCACAATAGAACACTGTTTTGGAAATCTTGACTAGTCTGAGTGGTTTCAGCAAGGAAGACAAATGCCAGAGAATTCACTATGTAAATACAAACAAATGGCAAACCAGCTGGCCAGTGGGGCTTACACCCCATACCTGAGAATTTCCTTTTGAAAGTGACTTTGCACAAACTCCCTGTTCATTTTCCATACCATAGGTGGCAGAGGTCAGGAGGTGGACCAGGTGGCCTTTCAAGTCAAAGGCTAGGCAGCTTACTGAGTTGAGACCCATGGTCTACTGGGGCACTGGGAGTTGCAGGGAAGACTCCCAGGCCTCTCCCTAGTGGGCAGAGCTGTTCTTGTCAGTCAACAGGCAGACATCCCAAGGTAGTGTTCAGGCCCTGAGGTGGCTGGCCACCTCATCCCCCCATAGGGCTGTACAGAGAAGGAAGTTACAGGTCTGGAACCTGACCCAGTGCAAGCAGATGCTCATGGAAGGAGCACCCCCCGCTTTGGAACAGAAGCCAACAAGCTACCAACTTTTCCTGAGACCAGTCCTGGCCACATAAGAAATCCTGAACCCTGGCTCTGAAAGACCTTCTGGGCCATGCGGAGCTCCTGCTTCACAGACTGGATCTGGTTGCGTAGGTCGCTCATCTTGAGGTTCATGGCTGCTAGCCTGTCCTGAAGCGCCTTCACTTCTGTCGTCTCCAGCTGGTTGGGAAGGACAGGAAGAAAGTGATCACTTACTGACTAAATAGTTATAATAATTAGAGCCACTATTTACTGAAGTAAATGGTGCTGGACTGGTGCTGGACTGGTGCCTGGATCCTCAGATGCTCCCCAGGTCCCATTAGATGCAAAGCCGAAGGGGGTGGAAGATAAGTCCTCTCGACCTGGACTCCTGGCTAGGATAGGTGGTGAACAGGTTGAATCCTGGCGCTCAAATTTCAGGGCTGAGCCTTGTGTTGCACATCCACATGTGGTTGTGTGTGTAGCCATGGCTGGAGCATCTAAAGGAAGCTGCAGGCTCCACAGCTCCCAGAAACTTCTTGGATGTGGCCATTTTGCTATGCCCAGAGATGGGCATTAGGCTAAGAGCATCACTCCATCTACAGAAGGCCACTTCAGCTTGGCAGGACCATGACCTCCCCATCCAAGGCCTCCCCTTCTGGAGCTGGAGTCACAGCACAGGCCTTGTCTCTGCCCACAGAGGGGCTGTGCTATGTGCTGGCTTAATGGAAACCGGGTTCAGTCCCCAAATATCTCACCTCTGTGGCTTGAAGGACAGCAACAACAACAAAAGATGTGTGCTGGAACTCAATGATGTCCCCCTTTGCCTTTTCTCTAAAAGATACTTGTTTGTTTGTTTGTTTGTTTGCTTGTTTGTTTTGAGACAAGGTCTCCCTGCAGCCCCAGCTGGCCAAAACTTGCTGTGTAGATCAGGCTAGATTTGATCTCACAGAGATCTTCCTGCCTCTCCCTCCCAAGTGCACCACCTTGCCTGGTTTAAAAAATAATGTTCGATGCAAATGTTGGAAGTAATTTATTAATGCATTGCCTGCCTCTCTGTCTCAGTAGCCATTACTGGGACCTCCAAGATCAACCTATTTAAAGTCCTTCCATTAGTGATGAACATCAAGTTCAGAGAGTAGCAGAACTTGCCCAACCAGTTGTAGTAGCACAGTGGGATTAGAGCCCTGGTCCTTCTGCCCCTTCTTCCAACTGGTGCTTCTGCTGCTGCTGTTGCTGTAATAGAGCATTGCAGCAGTAGTGACACTGGGGTAGCAGGTCCAGCATCCATCAGGTCATGCTGAGACCCTCTGCTCCTGCCCCAGCCAACCAGGGGCCTGGGCTTCTGGGAAGCAGGTGGTTGTTCAGTGGCTTTCTAATCTTTCTTTAGCAAGCACAAACAGAACCTCCTGTGAACACTAGTGTGAAAGAGATGACCACTAGACCAAGTCCTAACCTATGGAACCCAGCTGAAGAGCAGGGGTCAAAGAAACTAGGCCTGAACAGTTGGTCCCGAAGTCCTGACCATATTTAACGTCACCATCAGGACAAAAGCCATAATCAATATGAACAAAATTTGCAAAGTGGAGACTTCCAGAAAATGCAAATAGATCCTTGAAAAAGTACGTTTTCTGAGTTCTGCCTGTGTGGCTGCCTGACATTCCCTCTTTCCGCTGGGTACCCTTAGTCTTACCTCTGTTAACCAACCATGAGGCTTTAAATCGGCCCTGCGCTGCATAGTGACCCCTACCTCCTGGTGGCCAGAGCTTCCCTCCATGGCAGCCCTGTTCTGGGTGCTGTGGGAGCACATGAGCATTCCCTGGGGCTCTGTGGTCTGACAGCATCTCTGAGGGCCTCTCAGAGCATGGGCAGAATACACATACTGCACCAGGATATAGAGCCGTGATACCCACTCCTGGCCTTAGTTCATCGTCAAGCAGGGGGCTTAATGCTAGGTTCCACGCATACCCAGGAGGCTTGTCCAGGGCACTACCTAGAGCAGGCACTGACAAGAAGGGAAGGCCCCTAGCTTGGGTGGGCAGCTGGCAAGAGGACTAAGGCCAGATGGTATTCTGAAGAGGCCTAATAGCTGGGCCCACCTCCTTCCCAGCCGCTGCAGAGCTTTCTGCCCCCAGTGAGATTCCATGGGCTTTGTGGGAGACCTGGCACAGGCAGCCTGGCCCCGATCACAGGCCGTTTCCTTTGAAGGAACAGCTGCAACACAGGCCCCTGGGAGTAGGCATTGCTGACTGCTCACAGCACAGCCTCCTGGAGCCCCCTGCAAAGTGGAGTGCTTTCAGCTACACTCTGGAATGTGCTTCGAGGCTGTGAGAGGCAGGCCTCTGGAGTACAGCTCGGCCTGGACGGCTCCAGCAGACGAGTGATGTGGACAGGCTTTTGTTCTTGCTCTGAGCAGAAGATGCCAGGGAAAGCATGTGGCCTGGACATAAGGAGACCTGCAGCCAGGCAGGCACACACTCTGCTGAGACCCAGCAGCTCGTAACAGAACCATCCAAACTCCCTGCTCTAGTGACCATTCAAGAGACTCTTGGGTGCTCCTATCCTGTTTTATTTTGGCTCATATCCCTTTTCCTCTTCTGGGCTTTGGGCTGAAGCCAAATGCTATCCAGCTGACACCCAGGTGAGCCAACTGTGCAGAATGATCTGTGCTTTCCAGACTCTCTTCCTTGTAGGCACTGCCCCTCCTGGAAGGCCTTTCCCACTGGCTTCACCAGAGCTTAGCTCAAGGGTGCCCCTCCTTCACCTGCTAGCCCCAAGATGGAGGGTGTACTCCTATTGTGAACTCAGCTCTGGCCTGCCTCTGAAGGCCTACCACACCTTCTTCTACATGGCTGCTCCTCTCTGTCCTGACTCCCCTGTGTGATAAAACAGACCATCCCATCAGGCTCCACAAGGGACACAACAAGCAGTTTCTTACCCTTACTCAAGTCTGGAACATGGAGGTCATCTGTGTGTTGGACAAACCAGGGGCAGTTTAGCAGTGTCTCTCAGAGAAGGAAGGGCCACAAAGAACACTGTTTACCCCAACCAAGGGCAGAGCACCTTGGCTGTGTCCCCAGCAATGAGGTAGGTTTACACATTCACCTCTAAGGGGCCCTTCACCACACCCAGGACTGAATTCCTCTCAAGACCAGCAAGAAGTGGCCTAATCCTAAGGCATAGGTAATGAGGGACATGGAGCAGAAGGAACATTAAGCTTGGAGTCCTGGGACTCAGGTGTCTGTCACCAGGTGGTCTGGATTCCTGAGAAAACCCTGGTGAGGTTTTCTGGGATATCTTGAGATGCTGATGCAGCTCAGTCTGGCTTGGGCTCCACACCCTGGCAACCCCTTCCTTACATGGAGCTGCAATTCCTGTTGCCTAGGTTTTGTGGCCTGCTCATTGGTTAGAAAATGAGGTCTTGGGAATAACTCTGTAGATTCTCAGTGTTGCAAAAGGAGCCCCCAACTGTCCACAGTATCTATAAATAACAGGGCTCTTGGGGACCTGAGAGATGCTCAGTCACTAAAGGAAAGCAGGAGGGTCTGAGTTCAGTCCCCAGCAGCCATGTAAAAAGCCAGCATGGTCATGTGGGTTTATAATCCCAGTACTGGGGAGGCAGACACGGGAGGATCCCTGGGGCTCACTGGTCAGCCAACTTAGCCTAATTAGTGAGCTTCAGGCCAATGAGAGACCCTGTCTCAAATGAGGTAGATGGTATTCTTAAGAACGACACTTGATGTTGTCCTCTGGCCTCCACATGCACAAATACACATGTACCTGCACCCCCACCATGTACTTTCACACTCAAATACATACAAATACACACACACACACACACACACACACACACACTTAAGAAAAAAAAGAACAGGGCTCCCTTGGGTAGTGGGAAGCAACCTCTCCCCAGGGTAAGGGCAAGTGGGTGTCTCCCTGGTGAGGAGGCTGTAGACATGATGGCCAGGCTGCAAGCAGGAGGCCAGGTGGACTAGCCATCCCTCCAGTGTGTGATATCAGGGCTCAGAAGCCCCAACTTTCCCAGCTTCCCCCTATGGGAAGTGGCTTGGAGCTGGGCCTTCCCTTGTCTCTGTCAGGGTATCCTGGCCACAGGCCATATACTGGGGACTGTTCTCTGGTGGCTGCTCTGAGGAGGCAACAATGGTTCAGCAATGGGTGGGGCACCCTGGTAAGACACCCATGAGCCCACTGGGGAGGGGAGGCCCAGGTAATGGGTACCTCCATAGACACTGAAGAGAATTCCTACCATGGCTCTGTCTCCCTTCTGGTTCCTTGATGCCTTGGCGCCCACATCTGTGGCCTGCTTGGCAGGTGGCCTGGCTGGTACCATCTGCAGCTGAAAAGGCAAACCTGGCACTTAATATTTCATTCTGCATGGCAACTACACACCCAGCCACAGTCCTCAGGTGTTGCTGGGTATGTGGCTGCCTGACTTGGTGTCTGAGTGGTTGACTCACTCTTGGACTGCTAATGAAAGGAACGGTCCTTTATGAGCTGCTCATGATGAGAGAGGGGTTGATTGGCCCTGCTCCCTAACTACACTGGAAGGGCAGCCCAAGGCTCTGCTAAGACCTTGATAAAACACAAAGCTGCTACACTCTCTCAGGGAGTTCTAGCAACAGCCTAAGAGAGAATAAAAGAAACACAGACTTTGGGTCTAGATGGCGAAAAAGGGTGCCTGCCACACTGGATACGTCTCATGTTAGAGCCTACTGTAGACGACCAGGCAATCAATCTTTTAATGATGCCTCCGCTGTTCTTTATATGCAGTGACCATACCATGTTTGGGAAACTGGGGCAGGGCCTCACACCTCCAACCAATCTTGTTCGTCTCTTGACCACACTGGTCTCCTTCCATGCTTTTCCCCACTTTTCACTGTGAGCCTTGAGGCCCTCTCTGTGGAGGCTACTCTTCCAATCTCTGGCTGGGTTATGAGGCCTTTCCCTTCCTAGCTCATCCTAAGCAGCATCCCTCCTGACCCTCGTTAGCTTCTGGCCACTGCTCCCTGTTTGTGTGTTGATCTCTTTCCTACTGCTAGGTTGGTTACTGTGCCATACATGAGTCCATCTCCAAGGAGGCAGAATCATCCATGCTGACTCTGCTCCCTCCAGCATCTCCTGGGGCATGGCACAGAATATGAAGTGGTTCTCAAAAACTACATCCCAGAATGAAGAAGCCACAGGACTGGCCAGCAGCCTCAGCTCCTGCGATGGGAAAGGTAGCAAAGATTTCCTTGAGTGAGCCTGACGGGTTCAGTTGAACTCCTAAGGACAGGAACCACTGGGATGTGCCAGGGGGAGGGTGTGTAGTTAGCTGGGAGGGAGGGGTTGACTAAAAGAGGAAGGTGGACCACAGTGGGTGTAATGTTTCTGGATGTAGCTTTGAATGAATAGGGGTTTCTGGAAACTGATTCAGCACATGTTTATCTAGCACTTTCTACATGTCAGGTATTGTTCTAAGCATTTTAAAAAGTCTTTTTGGGGGCTGGAAAGATGGCTCAGTGGTTAAGAGCACTGATTGCTCTTGCAGAGGACCTGGGTTTGATTCCCAGCACCCACATGGCGGCTACGAACCATCCTTAACTCTAGTTTCACGGGAATCCGACACCCTCTTCTGACCTCCGAGGCATTGCACAACACGGGTGCACTCATATACATGTAGGCAATACACTCATACACATAAAAAAAAAAAAAGTCTTGAACAGTAACCCAGCATAGAACTGGGAAAATGAACAGCAGACCCCAATCTTATCTAAAGGAATATTGACAACTGATTGCTGCTAGATGAGGAACAGCTGACCTTCCTAAAACAAAGACCTCTAGATAGGCTGACTAGATTTAACAGATGGACAAGCACTGGAGAACAGCTGGGGGTGCTGACAACAGTGGACAGTAACAGGGATGACAGAGTATATGGGCTCCAGTGGGGGAGGGGGCTATGGGAGGGGCCATTTGGGATGTGGATATATAGATGAATAAGATTGTTTGGGATGTTCTGTATGAAATACATGCAAAAAATCAACAAATTTAAAAAATGAATTATAGTTGAGGAAGAATAAAAATTTGCTTCATGTTAATTAGTAGCGGTGAAAAACATTACCACTGAAATCTACCTGATGACTTTATATTCATGCTCAGGTGCCAAGGATCTCAGAAAGTAACCAACTGTGACTAGTAAAAATCAGATACATAGAGATTAGAGACAGATGTGCAAACATCCAAGCGTTAATAGCATTAAAAATGAGTTTTTCTGTATGAAACAGTATATTTTAAAATGAAATGGAGATCTTTTTTAAAGGTTATAACGTCATTCAATTTTATGTCTTTCAGGATTTATACTGAGTTCAATATTGTATAACTGTATTAATTCAACTGTGAACCTAAAAATTTATAGCCAATTTTGAAAGCGATGCATCTTTGCTCTGGAAATTGCTATCAAATATGTTAATGCTGTAATGAAATGCTTCTTCTAATCATGTGGTTATCAAATAAATAAATTGACAGTAGCAGGAATGACAGAGTATAAGGGCTCTAGTGGCAGGGGAGGCTATGGGAGGATGCCATCTGGGTAGTGGGTGTATAGATGAATAAGATGGTTTGGGATGTTCTGTGTGATATACACACAAAAAAATCAGCAAATTAAAAAACTGAGTTATATTTGAGGAGGAAGAATAAAAACTTACATCATGTTAATTAGTAGAGGTGATAAACATTAAAATCTACCCGACGACTTTATAGCCATACACAGGTGCCAAGGATCTGAGTGCAACCAAGTATGACTAGTAATAATCAGACAAATATAGATTAGAGATGCATGTGCCGACATCTAAGTGTTATTAGCAAAAACAATGAGTCTGTAAGAAACAGTATATTTTAAAATGAAATGGAGTTCTTTTTTAAAGGTTAAAAACTCACTCAATTATATGTCTTATGGGGTTTATAATGAGTTCAATATTGTATAACTGTATTAATTCAACTGTGAACCTAAAAATTTTGTAGCCACTTTTGAAAGAGATGTATCTTTGCTCTGGAAATTGTTATTGAGTATGTTAAAGCTGTAATGAAATGCTTCTTCTAAAAAATAAAGAATAATAATAAAAAAAAAAGTCTTTTGATTTTCACGAAAACTGACAGTGAGGCTGCCTGCTACTACTGTCATGTGACAGATGGGGGACTGAAACACAGAGTTTAGGGCACCCTCAGGGACACAGATCTTTCAGTGAGGCTCCATGTCCAATGCCCTTAGTCACCATGCCAGGCTTCTTCTTGTCAGTGGCCCACATCCCCTCCCTCCAGATGTGATTAAAGACTGGGGAACTCACTGCTGACACTGTACCCCACATATATGTCTGTATAAGGACCCAACACTTCCTAGTACACCCCCTCCCCCCAGGAAAAGCAGCTGAGGCCCTCACTTCTAGCTCCAGCTCCTGGATGCGATTGGTCAGCTGCTTCACTCTGGCTTTTGCACTTTCTGACTCCGCCATGAGCCCCCGGTTCTTTTTGGACAGTTCAACAATTTTGGTGGCTACTAGATCTCCAGCCATCCCAGTTGTCCCTAAAATGAAAGAAACGGCGAGATCCATTACAAACACAATATGCACCTCAAACCCAGGACTTTAAAGGCAATGTCTTTGGAATGAGTGCTCACTGGAGAGTTGTCACACATCAAAGAGCCCTGGGACCCAGCCCTGAGAGAGAGAATGCAGCCCCTGCACAGAAAGCCTGTAAGATCAGAAAGCAGCTGGGTGTGATGGCTCATGCCTGTAATTCCAACCGTCAGGAGGTGGAGGAAGGAGGTTGGAAGTTCAAGTCATTCTCAGCTACATAGTGAATTCATCTGGGCTACAGGAGACCCTGTCTTTAAAAATAATAAAATAAAATAAAATAAAATAAAATAAAATAAAATAAAATAAAATAAAATAAAATCAGATGTCAGAGTTTTAGTTCCTTGGAGTCAGGCTGATTGTTCCTCATCTTCACGCCATCCCTGTGGTAGGGTTACACAGCCACAGCCTCTGCCCTGTGGGTAGGCTATGAGCCTTAGTGAGCAGGACACAGTCCCTTGACCCTTCTGTGCTGCCTGACACTGGCTTTGGTGCCAGAGAAGGTGTAGGTAGAGACATGGAAACCACTTGCACAGTCAAGCTCCCTTCTTTGATTAAGCCATCTCACAAGAATTACAGACCCGAACTCATTGGCTGGTTCCCGAAGAGGGACACATACGCAACAAAGCCAAGCCACCCTAGCCAATCCCGAGCTAAGCCCCAGATGTTTGACATAAACAAATTCTTTGTGTATTTGTGTGTGTGTGTTCAGGTGCACATGTGTCTTCAGGTGCAGAGGCACATGAGCACTTGTGTGTGTGGAGACCAGAGGTCATCCTGAGGTGTCATTCCTCAGGCACTGCCTTCAAAAAAATTATTATCATTATTTTTAGTGTAGCTGAAGCTAGCCTTGAATGTCTGCTCTTCCTGCTTCTATCTTCTCTTTAAATTTATTTATTTATTTATTTATTTATTTATTATTTATTTGTGTGTTGCTTGCATGTATGTAAGTGTATAATGTGCATGCAATGTCTACAGAGACCAGAAAAGGGCATTGAATCCCATGGAACTGGAGTTATGAATGGTTGTTAGCCACCATGTGGGTGCTGGGAATCAAACCCAGGTCCTTGGCAAGAGCAGCCAATGCTCTTAACCACTAGACCATCTCTCCAGCCCCTCCACCTTAGTTTTTTTTTGTTGATGTTGCTGTTGTTGTTTCCTACATTTTTTTTCAATAAAATATTTTTTATTCAATAAGAAGAAGCATTTCATTACAACAGCATTAACCAATTCAATAACATTTTTCTGAGCTAGGGTACATCTCTTTCAAAATTGGCTGTACATTTCTAGGTTTACAGATGAATTATTACGCT